ATATATTTGTAAGTAGACTGCACATATTGAAATAAGTACATCCTGTCAAGAACTTTCTGCATTGGCGGCCGTCGACTTCGCTTAAATAAATAACACTGGTGGGCCCTAAGCCCTGGGAGTTCATAGTTCTTCCGGGTCGAACTCCTTACTGCACTCGCGGCACTACTAGTAACATCAGATATATTTGTCATAAATTTTAATACACTATTCCGTTAAATCTGAGTATGGAAAGAAGYTTTTAAATATAGTTTTTTATTTAAAAAATAGATAATAAATCAATGTGCGCATGATTAAATAGAATGCGTTGGTTTAGCAATTTTAGTCAGRTTATATGGGTTTTTTAATTTGAAAAACTATATTTGTCAGATAGATAGATAGATCGACAGATCACTCTATTATTGAATCCAGTTATCAATTATTAACATTTATTAAGCATTGATTAGTTCGACACATTGAAAGATTTAACTGTTTAATGTTACTCACCTGATAATCTCAGCTCTTAAATGTTTATCTTCCATTTAACACTCGTAAACTACAACTAATTTGTWAATAACATTTATGATTCAATTTTTAATCAATCTTCTGTTGTTTTATTTTATAATCGGCAAGTGCTGCTTTTATAGCGTCCTCAGCAAGCATAGAACAATGCAATTTTACTGGGGGAAGACATAACTCTTTAGCTATGTCGGTATTCTTTAATTTTCCGGCTTCATCAATAGTTTTGCCTTTTACCCATTCTGTTGCTAAAGAACTACTAGCAATTGCTGAACCACAACCAAAGGTTTTAAATTTTGCATCGATAATTTTACCATTTTCATCAACTTTGATTTGAAGCTTCATGACATCCCCGCATGCTGGCGCACCAACTAAGCCTGTTCCAACCCTTTGATCTTTCTTGTCAAGTGAGCCTACATTTCTTGGGTTCTCATAATGTTCCACAACCTGAAAAATATATTATAAATTTCTTCTTAATACTGTAGTAATAATATACTATTACTATTATATTAACCTAAAAATGATGTCAACACATACATATGTACATATTTCACTGTTATGAAAGATCTTAATATAATAGATACTTACGTTTTCATGATAAAATACTGCTGGGACACTTTGAATACGTGTCAATCTCGCTTGGAGCATTTTAGATACACGAGTTAAAGACATTATTTTGATATATAAAAAATAACTGTTTATATGATATAGAGTTGTGAAATCCTACGCCTTTAATATTTTGCTKCGATTTGCAAACGAAAACAAGTATATTTTGACAGTCAATGCGTTGCCAACTCCTTAAAGTCAGTTTTCAATAGTGCTGCCAAGTCAAAAATAAACGTAACATTTAAACACCCAAGATTAATAATGTGACAGAGAACATTAATTATATTACTACGATGTGTTATGTTTTTAGTACTCACATAGCATACSTACAAATATATGTATGATACATTCACCGTCGAACTGTCATCGTAACCGGTTTGCTTTTCGCTCTTTGCTTATTGAGTTTGTTAAAACGGTATAACGGTTTGTTCTGCGTTTATATTACGCTCGTGCTTTGTTTGTGAATTAATTTTTTATTGTT